ATATAAACCATGGTACAAAAGGAAATAAGACATTATGATATGATAAAAACTTATAAAATTCATCCGAAATAAATTTTAGTATTTCTAAAGAGAAATTTGGAAAAAACCACTTTCTAAATGGTTCCCGTCTTGGAAGATTAAATTATTCTTTGATTTGATGTCTAGCCAAAGAACCTAAACTGAAATCTATCTTATTCATATTGAAAATGTCATTTCTGATTCAGTTATTTCTTCATCTTTAGTGTTATAAACACCTTTAACAATATTTTCTTTATTTTTTACTAATTTATCAACATGACGATTATTCTCATCACGTTCACTAACTAGTGAAGTAGAAACATGATAAGGATGTTCACTGTATGAGGTAGAAGCACAACTAGGAATAAAATCTTTATCCTCTATTAAAGCTGAAACATAATGAGTTGAATATGATCAAGATAATCCAGATCTATGAGATCTGTTATTATTCAATAGGAATGGATTATTAATCAATTATGCTCTCTGAGAGATTAGCTCAGACAACAGAATTTCTACAACATTGTGAATTACAACTATTAGTTATAACTTTATAAATTTTGCACGGATTATGTATCCTCCTGATCGTGGATGAAGCGGCCCTTATAGAGGTCGTGGAGGACGAGGAATAAATCATGTTATACAACATGGAAATAAAAAGCTTATAGCTACTGATTTTTCAAAATCCCAAGAGGAATCCTCTTCATCAAATGCTAAATTGGTTCAAATAATGGACTTTATTCAGAATGATTTTGTATTATATAAGCAGATTATGGATCAAATCCAAGAATAGCAAGGTGATACCTTTGCTGCTAAAGTAAGTGAAAGTGACCAGGATGATATCAGGTCATATGAAAAAGGATCCACAAAAGAAGTAATATTTCTTCTTGAAAACACTGATATTCAGTGGAAAGATGATCCATGGATAATATTCCGAAGATATCTATCAGAAAAGGTGATGATACCGGGTGAGTCATACAAACCCCGAAATTATTATGAGAATATTCTCAAACAGACATGTGAAATAACACATTTTCAGTCTAATTAGACTACGACTGAAGTTTATAACTTTTCAGAAATTGTTATTAAAAAAATCCTATCTTCTGAAGAATGGGGAATTTCAACCCTTTCTGAAAGGGAAGTACGTAATAACCCTACTTCTCCTCCTTTGAAATTTACTTACTAGGATTATATCCAAAGTTTTTATAAAACTTTTTATTATGAAAACCTTCGGAAAAAGCATACTTGGTTTATTAAAATATGTTCCAATATATATTCCTCACCTATACCTAATTGGTTTATTCAATGGTGGGCATTATATGGTCCAACGCCAAAAATTTTACCAGAAAATTTTTCAAAGTTATATTATCAGTGGTTAAAATTTTCCCTATCATTGATAAACTTCAACACAGTCATATCTGTGCCCCTGGAAAAATCACTTTATTATACTTTTTTTATTCAATTCTCAATCCCATGGATTTATAAATGGGTTCCAGACGGATTTAATGAGTTCCAAATTTCATGTCTTTATAAGATATATTATACCAAATTCTGGGACAAATTGACAAAAATAAATTCCAATACTAAAAAATTACAAGGCCAAGATTTGCTGGATGACATAAGCCAGAAAATAGAAGAATATATCCAGGAAAAAGGACAGCTAAAAGAAAATCAAGATGAGGAAAGTCCGTTCAAGCACATTACAAAAAGAATTCAGTTTCAGCAAGGTGCGATAAACAAGGATGAAATAATATCAGCTTACATAAAGGAAGTAAAGCAGATTTGATGAGAAATCTAAAAAATCTTGAGAACGATAATGTCTCAGAAAAATAAGATATTTCAATGAAAAGCATTACTTCAAATGAAGAAAATTCATTTGCAATATTAGCCGGAGAATCTCAGGCACCAGACAATGAGGACAACCATGATGAATTTATCAACAATCTGTTACATCAGATCCAAGAGACAGCACAATGAGGAAAATGAAAGAAAAGCTGTGAAAAGACAAAAGCAGGAATCTCTTTTTGAAAATTAAGGCATATGGATCCCACTTGAGTCATATCTGAGAAAGACATTCACAATAAGTGAACGGATTTCAAATCCCTTTGTAAAATAGAATTTATAGTTTTTGGAAATCTGGGCCTATAAATAGAGATTGTTAGTTTAGTTGTAGAGGCACCGATTTTCAGAAATCTCTTCCTTTCTCTTCTCAGTGTAAAATATTTCAAAGTTTAGAAGCTTGGAATAAAAAGAGCTCAGCTCCCCTGATTCCTATAAGTATTTACTCTTACTTTCTTTTACTTGTAATGATAGGCTAATAAGCCTGATGGTTGGGATAAGATGATGTTATTACAAGGATTATCATAGTTATGATCCTGATGAAGGAAGGATAGTTAACTAGTTAAGCACGATCTTGCCATAGTTAACTATTTGTAAGTCATGTTTAATTTACATAAACATATTCATTTTTTAATAATAGGTTTAACAGTTATGATACTATTTTTTTCAATCTAAACAATAAAATGATTTTTTAACTAAAACTAATTTTGCTTAAAAAAAAATTTAACATAAATTAAAAAATCTTTAGTGGTATATTTTAATGTATTACAATTTAATTCAACAGAATTTAATCTGTATTGTAAAATTTGAAAAATAATTAAACTAAAATATAAATTTTCTTTAAAAGGCCAAATACGAGTAGAAAGTAAAAAAAAGTACAAAATATTTTATAAAAAACATGTATATTTATCATTGTGAGGGAATTTCGTGATAATTTTTTTTGAGATATTAACATATTTGACTTTAGTAGGAATTTTTTTTAATAAAAAATAAAGAAAATCTACTCCAGTACTGGACTCCACCTCTAAAAAAAAGGAAAAAGATTGCTCTAGTGAGAATCGAGGCATCGAACACAGTAATAATCATCTCTCATCTTAAATCACCTGACCATCCAACTCAACCCTCTCACCTTTAGTAGACCATGCTTAAATGTAGATAAAATCACTCTCACGGTTAGAAATTTTTTGGTGAGAATTAATCTTATATCTACTCTCATGAAGTTCACCACCCTAACCACTAGATTGTACCCTATATCTTAGTTTAATTATTTTTTGAATTGGATAATATAATCCATAGTCTTTAGTTAATCTGTAATAAATTAAAATGTACTAATATATTAATTTTTAATCTATGCTAAATGTTTTAATTTTTTTTTTGTAAAAAATTAGTTTTTAGTCCAAAAATATTATTCTTTAAATTGGAAAAAAAAAGATTAAAAATAATATCATTATTGTCGAGTTATATTATTAAAAATTTTTAATATGTTTATGTAAATCAACCATGAATTACAAATATGCATATCTATAAATTTGCACAATAGTGTTTAAAAATAAATAATTTTTTTTAAAAAAATTATATAATATATTTTTATAGTTATGAGAAATTGAAAAAAGAAAAAATTAACTAAAAAGTGAAAAAAGATTGTTTAGTTATTTTTACAAATTTTTGAGATCATTTTTATAATTTTCAAAACTATTAGAGTATTTTTGTAATTAAAACTAACAGAATTCCGTTAATTTAAACGGCAAATTGAACAAAAATTGGCTAACGATTGGATAGCTGAGGATAATATTGGTTAATAAAAAAAAATAGGGTAAAATTGACAATGCATGTCAACATTTGAGTAGATGGACCAATTTTTCTGCCCAAAAACAGCAAGAAGAAAAGAAAATAAATTGAGTTTTGGCCAGTCCCACGTTAAATATTCCCAATTCCACAATTTCCAACCAAAGGAAGAAAAGGAATTCATTTCATTGGTTGGCCGGTGTTCCCTCCAACTTGTTCGATGGTGTGTTCTGCAACAGTACTAGTTGAACCAAAGAAAAAACAGAGGCCACTGGTGCTCTGCTTTGAAATCCACACAAAATACCAGAAACCAAAGCAACCCTCCAATCTTCTAAATCTAATCTGTGAACTCACAATCTTGTTATTTTTTAATCCATCCGAGAAAGAGAAAAGAGAAATAGAGAGTATTTGGTCAATATTATAATCATTTCTTCATTTTTTTAGTATATATTTTTTTTCCAGAGAATAAAACAACTTGCAAAATCTTGCTGGTGGGAAGGAGGAGAATATTTAATAGTGTGGTGAAGAGAGAATTTGATGAACTGAAAAAAATAAAAGGGAAAGGAGGGCCCCATTTGGCTTTCCCAGTTCAATCATCTTCTTCTTCACCATCATCATAAAAATCTGTGTCTTTTTTACCCCCTTTAAAATAACCCACCAGACTAGAATTTGTTATTCTTCGTTTCCAACATTGAAATCAAAAAGAGAGCTTTGGATAAATGCTTAGATAAGGGAAGGGGAATCCAAGGGAACCTTCATATTTGCTGACTTATAAAGCTCTTTGTTTTTTTTTTTTAATTTTTTTTATTTAATGGTTGGATTTTGTGGTGTCAGAAAGAAGAAGACCATAATTAGATCTGTTTAGCGCCCCATTAGTTTCATCCCAGAATCCAGTGGTCAAATTTGGCTTTAATTACACAATACATGACCACATTCATCCTTCCATTTCTTTAAAAATAGGCCATACTTGTTGAGCAGATTACAGGAATTCTTACATGTGACTTCTATTGGTTCCTTTTTTGCTACTATAAAATAGCTTTTTATTTGGGTTTTTTCAACTTGTGTATCTTCTTCTTCTGTTCTGCTCTGATTTTCTTTTGCGAAGATTCGGCGAAGTCCACCAATTTTGAGTTGGTGGGCTTCGTTCGGTCAAATACGATATTACAATCATATATATAACAACAAATATTCTTCGACGGTGGCTTTTGTTTCAGAGATCATCCCTTTTTCCTGTTTAAACAAAGTTTTTTTCTTGTGCTACTTTGTTTAGCATTACCCTTTTCTTTTTTCCGTTTGGTTGCATTATTGGTGGCCTAACTTTCAATCCCTCTTTATTTTTTTGAGTCATATATGCCTTACTTGATTCTTACCCTTTTCAAATGCTTTTCTTTTTGATCACTTGCTGCTCATTCCTCTTCTTTTACAAGTCTCTTTCTCTCAAGCCACTCCCTCCGTGGACTAGTGAGATGAGATTGCTGTCACTCTGGTTCTGGAAAGATTTGTCACTTTTATCCCTCGCCAAATCCATAACAAGTAGTTTATTTGGTAAAAACCTCAGCTTGATTGCCTCATCAGAGATGTCATTGAAGAAGAAGAACTCTAGTTTCAAAGTACAGGATTTTGATGAGCTGACCCCAGAGATGTCTGTACTTGATTTGCCTGAACTTGTTCTGGAATGCATCCTTGAGAGGCTGCCTCCTGAGGGTCTACGGAACATGGCTAGTGTGTGCTGCTCTTTGAGGGACAGATGCATGAGTGATCATTTTTGGGAGAAGCATTTGAAACAGAAATGGGGACAAATTATTGGTCCTGCTGCCTATAGGGAGTGGCAATGGCATATTGTATCAAGAAAGGATTCATTCTTTCTCAATCAATCCAAACAAAAAGGGTTCTTCAGTTCTCTTTCTCAGATGTGGCCTATTTCATTAGTTAGATCCAACCTAAAGAAGAAGACCATCAAGAGGAAGGATTTTCCTCCAGTTGACTCAATAATGTCTTGGTACCTTGCTATTGAGTCTGGAAAGTTTTGGTTCCCTGCCCAGGTCTATAACCGCGAGGTATTGTTCTGTGACCTTCAAAGTTTGTGATAAGAAATGTAGCACTTATGTGAGTTTGATCATTTGAATTTCATCATGTACTTATCTTTTTTGTTTTAACCTTTCCTGCAGAATGGTCATGTTGGATTTATGTTATCCTGCTATGATGCAGAACTTAGCTATGATGCTAGAACTGATACTTTTCAGGCCAGGTAAAAATGGCTTCTGCTTATGCTTGTTGTTTGTGCTGTGTAATTCCTGTGCACTTTGTTAAATCAATCAAAACCCTTTATAATTGACCGGAATTAGGATGGGTGTGCTTTATAATTTTGGTTTAACATCTCTTCATGTTTAAACTGAAAGTTCATTCTTGTTGGGTTGGAATTTTTGTTGATCAGAAAGCTCTCTAAATTGCAGATATCCTCCCCATGGAAACAGAGCCATAGCGATAGAAACTGGTGTGACTTGGGATAGGCTAAGAGCACCACCTATCGATACTCCTCCGCACAATCTTCACATCTCTGATTGTTTGAGTGAACTGCACCCTGGGGATCACATTGAAATTCAATGGAGACGGAATAAAGAATTTCCTTATGGTGAGTGAGTTCTTCTGTTTAATCATACGATTTACGAGTTCAATTTTAAAATTGAGATATAAATCATATTGTACGACCTCTTATTTATTCATCTTCTAGACTCTTTATTACTTCATTGGATGCTGAAGGCTTCATTGTCATAGAAAGATTCACTTTTTCAAACTTTGTTTCTATTCAATTACATCTGCTTTTTGTGTGACATAAAGCAGTGGCAGAAAGATTACAATTTCTCAACCAAAAAGTACTCTCTTCCCCTATTTCCTAATTTAAGTTGGTAGGTGATGAAATTGATTTATGTTAACTGAGGAGCAACTTTTCCTGGAAACTTCATTAAGCTTGTAGGAATTGTCCTAATCGAGTTGAGCAAGTTGCTTATTGAGTTGTGACAATAGCAAATTAGCAACAACAACTAAGCCAGGAGCGGGTCCCGGGGGGTTTGCTGTGTGAGGGAGGAGAGAACCATATGTATCATATTAGGTGGGAAAACCTTTTTTCCCTTCAATCTCTAATTTATAAACTCCCACACCTCAGATGAGATTGATCCCTAGATCTCAAGAAGGTTCACTTATAGCCTTATCAGACAGGCTAAGATCTATTACACTATTTTAGGAGAACCGATTTAAGTGGCCAAATGAGATTAATTTTGTTTTTTCTGATAAATTTATCACATACAATAGTTGCGCTATTATTGTTTTTTTCATCATTCATTAAAATGATCATAGGAAACGTGTTTAACTGTTCTCCCATGACCATTTTTTCCCCCAGATTAGAAGGTGGCTAACTAGTCCTGTTAGGTAGAAGGTGCTCTCCTTTGATGCTACGTAGTGCATATCTGATTTTATTCCTAATTGAAAATGCTTTATGAAACGTAACATAAATTCATTGGCTATATTAAGATAGCGTCCAATCTGTACAGATATTCTTATTTCTGGCTAATGATAATGATAATATATATGTTATGGTGCAGGTTGGTGGTATGGTGTTGTGGGTCACCTGGAAACATGTGATGGGAATTCCAACTACTGCCGTTGTCATCATAGTGGTAAGCAGCTTAACAATTTTTATTATAAGGCCATATTCTTTTTATAAAGTTCACTACTTGCTTCTTTTTTTTTTTCCTTTTTTTTCCCCCTTTCTAAGAAGAACCCATTTGCTAATCTACTTGATAGTTGCCTAAGGAGATTGACATAAACTAAAGAAAAGTAGATTGAGACAATTTAGCTTTTTAGATTTTTCTTTTTTTGGTTTTTTATTTTTTTTTTTGAAGAATTATTATTTGAAGAAAATCCATTATAACAATATGACAATCATCTAACGAAAAGTTGCAAAAAGGCACAGTCACCGGTTCAGGTCATTCTAGGGGTAAGTAGGGAACTGTTATTGATCCTTGTAGTTAAGGTATCATCCAGCTCTCCAAGTTCATTGAACTATGATAAAACTCATGAATGCTTCTTTCCCATAATTATTTCATCACCAATGAAACCTCTATCTCTTTAGTAGGCCACTGATGGACTCCAATCTTTCTGCATGTGGGCTCTTCATTTATTCTCCATAATTGGTCCCCTAGACAAGTCTTCTTCAGTTTGTCAAGGTTTCTTCCAACATTGTCATAAGTGATGTCTCAGTGGGAACACTTGTAACCCAAAACAAAAGCTGAAAGTGATTTTTATTTTGATTGTTTCTGTTGTGGAGCTGGGTATGGCTTTCTAAGTGATGCATCCCACTTTTCCTTCACATATTTATGTCTTTGCTGGTCACACCAGAGAATAATATATTTCTGAATGTGTCGTTGTTTCTTAATGCATTAAATTACTAATCATCCACTTCTTTGGTCCACTTGAATATATGTTCGGATAGTCTAAGAAACTTACCTTAGTGTTGATGTACTCAACTTGAATTCTTCTTCTCGTTCCAGTAAAACTCGCACCCTATGAAATGTCATAGACCACAATCTGGACCTCTTCATATCTTTGCAATGAGGCGAAAAATATCCATCCTCGGTTAAAACAGAAATAGCATTAGAGCTGCATTTTACTGTCACAGTTCTTTTTTCCCCTTCTATTGACCCTTGTGGCTTTTGTAACTGGTTGTAACGCTAGCTTGTGTGTGCTTACTTTCAAGAAAACAATATATGTTAGAGGAATAATTCCTATTAAAATGAGATCTGAATGGAAAAATCTTTAGATGTTCATAAGATATGTGTTTTTCTCCTAAAATATTCAAGTTAATGGATAATCTGATACGACTCTTTTCGAGTTGAAACTCTTTTGTCTGATTGCATAGTATCAGACTCTTGCAAGTGCAAGCTGTGGTCATTGTTATGTGAACAAAACAAGATGGCCTGATTTTCTTCCTTGTTTATATTTTCTTGTATTAGGCTAGAGGTGGATTAACATGCTTTGTGATGCAGATACCGTGGTTCTGGAGTTTAATCAGTACACTCCAGGTTCGAGGTGGAGAACGACAACCGTTAGTAGAAGAGACCATAGAGAAGAAGGAAATGAGGCTGATGGTTTCTATGGGGGGATAAGAAGACTCCACAAAACTGAAGAGATTTCAACATGGAAAAAGCTCTGGCCCACTGAAGTCCTGGAATAAGTCAGTGATTCATCACCACTTTTAAAGAAGTCCTGGAAGATGGTAAATCCCGTAATTGTTTGGGTCATATCTCTCGAGATCATATCTTCCGTTCCACTTATTTTAGTACAATATTCACAGAGGAGCAAACTCTGCTAGGAGGATTGGCGATTCTTACTTTGGATTTTGAATCGCCACTATTCAATTGCATCATACAATGCAAATTGCATTTTGTTAATGATTTAGAATATATGATTGTTTAGGTATTCAATAACATCTTCTTGCTGTTGTGATGTAGGTTGCATTTGTATAATTATTCAATCTTGGTGTATACCACCTTAATTTTTTTAGCATATTTTGTTGGTGGAATCTGAATAGAAGTTCAGAAAGCAAATGTAAATACTCCCACTGGAGGTCAATGAAGACATACTATTAGTTTGTTAATTGAATCAAGTTTTGATTGTCAGCTTCGGTCTGAATCCCAAGTACTTTGGTGTAAAATGTCCTTGAGTGCGATATGTTTACGTAGTTTCGTTAACGAGATACGATGAGCAGGGGACACAATCTCATTTATACACAGACACACACAAGTACTCTATCCAGCTATATCTCTTCTCTTATGGCCTTTTCAATTTCAAATCCATGGGAGCAAAGTGCCAATGATGGCTTGCTGCGATTATATTCAATGATTTCCATCTTTGACTCTTGATGATCAGTTCTCTTTTTGTCACTCTGATCACTATCTGCAGCTCCCTTAATTTTGAAGCTGAATCTCTTGAAACTTGGCTTCCAGTGTGTGGAACTGCGACCAAATGAAGCATATTTCAGCAGTATGTTTCTGATCTTTCTTGCTCCGGTTTCCACAACCAAACTGGTACTTAAGCCTTGATCACCATGTTCTGCTATCTTGGAAGAGATCTTGTTGCTGTTATTTTTCCCTTTATGATGATCGGTTTTGAAGGGCCGCACCATTTTCGCGAAAAGAAACTTCTTATGACGACTTTTCGTGCTCTGTTCAACTCGTCTCTTCTGATCAATGACAAATCTCGCATAAGGTGAACCTTTCGGCTCTACAGGTAAAAGACCGAATTTTGGTCCTAATATTTGCTCATCAAGATTACTGTCCATGGAATTGTTGGTCCGGTATGGCGAATGAGATCTCGCTCGTCTATGATGACTCCCTACAACAGCATCCCTTCCTCTGCTCGGCCGGCTTTCCTCTGAAACTTTATCCAATGCAGCTTTAAAGGGATCAAAGTCATCATTCCATGCAGCCTTATGTACAAATGGAACCTTAAAAACCGAAGCATGAGGGGACCTTGTTGGCGACGATGAAGGAATGGAACCTCGACAGAAGCTAGCATCATCGTCGAGCCATTGAAACCGCCCGGGCGGGGGCTTCAGAGGCATGACAAGACCGTTATGGAAAAGTTCATCCGCAAATGCTATAGTTGGAAGTGACCCTCCCCGCTCTCGTTTCGCCTTGAATAGTCTTTGCTGCTGTGATACACCGTCTACAAAGCACTCGAAATCCTTCCCGATTTCGAGTTCAATGTAGTTTTCAAATCTCTGGCTAGTTCCAAACTCAAAATCATCAGAACCTGAGCTCGAGAAATGATCATTACCACAATTAGCTGCAGGGCTAGATGGCGCCGTGTAAAAGGCGGTATCATTGCCAATGCTGCAGATTTTTGGACTAGTCGGGGCACTGTGGTGATATGAAGAATAACATTTGGGTACTTCACTCGAAGAGATCAATTCCATAGCTTCCGAACTTCAGAGATAGATGATGGGAATTTGGATGTGGAAGTACCCCTTTGAATTGGATTACTTTGGTGATGAATTTATGGGATTGGCAGAGTTAAAATGTGCTTGGCTAAATTGATTGATTCTAAAGTAATCTTCAAATTTAGCAGCACACGTGAAAACAATTAAAGGTACTTTTGATCATGTCATCACGATCATAAACTGAGGAAGTATTCAAAAGGGTTAACATCAGATCTGTGTTGTTAAAAATAAGGTCCAGAAAACTGCCAAATTTGAGGTTATTTGTCTTCTGATTTGTCCGACTTAATCCAACTAGCTAGTAAAGTTTGGCAAACATGGAACACTATCTTATTCTTTCCCTCTTCTTTTTTTTTTTTTTTCAGCTTTGTGATTGTACTATTTTGAGTTAATTAGTATCACTCCATCCATCTAAAAAAATAATCCACTTTATCCGGGTTAAAACAGAGTGAATTGATTTTCTTGGAGGGGAGGTCTATACAGAAATTAGTGGATAATTCTATTATTCTTATCATATACAACTTCACTATCTATCTGCGTCATGAGACATTTGGTAAAGTGATTCTCTGTCCTGTAGGAATTGATATATATATATATATATATATATATATATATATATATATACTAGTGATGTCTGGTCGCGCAATGCGTGACCCTGGCCCAGTCTATCTATAGATTTTAGAAATGTTTATATTTGAAAAAAAATAAAATTTTGTATTTGGAGCGATATATTTTAGAAATATTTGAAGGATTTAGAAATGTTTTATAAGTATGATTATAGAAATATTTGTATTTCGCAAAAAAAAAAAATAGTATTTCGCCATGTATGTTTTAGAAATATTTTATAAGTGTTATTTATTAAATATAAATAGCCTTAATCGAATATATGTGTTGAAGTAAATGTTAGATAAAATATAAAAGCATCTTAATAAATTTAAATATTAGTAAGATGATTTATTGATGTTCTCCATTGGTCGTGCCAAATCAATACTTAGTTTTGGAGATTTTTAATAGCTTTGTAATAAGTTTCATCCGAAGGGTATACGCTTAAAACAAAATTGACACTTTGTAACAAAAAACTTAATTGATCAATTCAATTTAAAAAACCACTCTAGTTGAATGAAACATAAAGAAAAAATTAAAAAAAAAAAACATGTCACATAAAGTGCAAAGGGAGATTTAGTAATTTTGTTATGGTTAGACAAAAGGGCAATTTAGTACTTTTTATATGCCACGTGGCAATCATATGAAGTGTTTGAAAGGGAGGTTTTTTTTTTTTTTTTTGGTACAATGAAAGGAGGCATAAGCCTAGCTTAGGTGATTAAAACTTTCCTTGGATAGGAGACACCAATTGTGTCATGTTGTAGCCAAGGAATAGCTTCAGATGGGGGATCATACAAACGAGAATAGCCAGTACTTCCCATGAACGCAAACGATGCTAGGAAATCTGCTACAAAATTTGCCTCACGAAACACGTGTACCACTTGGACTTCCCACCTTCGGTTCTGCAACTCCTGGATGGCCATAAACAAACTTCTGTGTATACCATCAACTTCACTCCCATTCAATAGCAAATTCACCGCACTCTGACTATCAGACTCCAATAAAACACGGCGAAAACCCATCTCCCACGCCAACAGCAAGCCCTGGAAAATTCCCCATAACTCAGCACCCATGATCGTACAAAAACCAATGTTCATAGCAAAACCCCCAAGCCATTTACCATGATGATCCCGAACGACTCCCCCTGCACTCGCCATCCCGGTTGAACCCAAAAAAGCGCCATCCGTGTTAACCTTAACGAAGTCAAACGGCGGCGCCTTCCAATGAATCCAAACCACTTCCCTCCCCACACCTACGCCGCCCAGGCTTCTCTCCCATGCTACTGCAGAGAGAACGCTCTGGGTATGCCGATGAACATCATCAATTTTCCTGCTTGCATTACAGGGTGTATTAGCAAAGATAAAAGCATTCCGTTGTGCCCATATTTGCCAGGCTGTAACTCCAAATGTGCATTCCCAATTCGCTACCTCCATCCCAAATGCATTCGTCAAATTGTTCCAGAGCCAATCCTCTAACGAGGAACCAAAAAACCGCCCCTTGTGCTTTGCCGGCACCATCCGAGACCAGATATTAGCAGCCTTTGGACAGTCCCGCAACGCATGCATGGTTGACTCCAGAGCTCCTCCACACAAATCACAAGCTGGTGAATCAGCGATGCGCCGATTCCAGCGTTGTGAATTTGTCAGGATAGCCTCTTTCGCGACTAGCCAAAGAAATTGGCGGACTCTTTGCGGTCCAGTCCAACTCCATATCACCCTCCACAGCTTATTATTCCTGAAAGGGAGGTTTTTGTTTCTAATATAGTAGGATATATATATATATATATATATATTGAGTTTTGTGTTTTAAAAATAAAACTTATTTCAAGTACTTCAAAATCAGTATGTTTTTGCGAAAGATTTCAGTACATTTTCTAACAAGAATTTACTTTATTTCTTACATCCATATTACAGACCACACGAAACAATATTATATGAAATTTAGGTAATGACAGAGTGGAGTAAAGTAGTAATTACAGGTGATAGGTTTTAAAAAAACTGTTTCTAACAAAAATCATACTCCCTCGGTCATAATTACAAAAGACATTTATACTAGATTTAATATTAATTTATGGTTTATAATTAGGACTAGAGAGAATACGTATTAAGAAAACTAAACGGTATGTATTCACAGCGTTTAAAAAAAAATTATTTGTTCACTACACTAAAACTGTAAAACAGTTCACTATAAATTAATTTCTTTTCAAAAATAACAATAGTGAGGCTGTTTTCTTCAAGAATGTTTGGTTCCTTTTTTTTTGGCTCCTCTGATGCCTTGCCGCTTCTCCGCTCCTTCCACAAGGACCGCCGGCGACCACTGCTCCATCGGCCGCCAATTGCTAATGGCGACCCCGAAGATCCGGCGTCGATCCAAGGATGCCTTTGACTCCTTCACAGAACCAGCCGGTCTCTTATATCGGACGACTCCCAAAAGTTCAGATCTGCTGTTTACCTCAAGCCGGTTTTTCAAAACCGGGTCTGTTTCAAAAACCTGGTATCAGATCCTCCGGTCCATTAATCTGGTCGTGCTGGTCACAAACAAACCAAATCGGGTTAAGCTTAGTTATTTTATGCTTTGTCGACTCTTTTACAGGAACAAATTAGATGCCGTAATTTCAAATTTCCCGTACATCACTCACTGTTCGGGATTCTCAATATGCCACCAAATGCGGCAGTCCAAGAGCAATGATCCAAAAAGATGTGAATCACGTTGACAGTGAAAATGGTAATTATCCTCCATTGCGTTACTGTAATGTTTGTCTATACCAAGTGTATAACTAATGATGTAATTCCCGATGAGGTTTACATAGAAAATATTAGTTTAATTGATATTTAAAACACCGTCATCATATGACGGTATCTCAATTGTACAAGGTAAGTCTTAAGCAACGCTTTGAAAATATTTCACTTTTTAATAAATTACTCAGGTACATTCTGATTTTAATTAAAAAAAACCGTCAATTTTGGCCTCTATAAAAAAAAAGAAAGAAATTTGAAATACATGTGTGTGGCATAAAATTCGGTAAAAAATGGTAAAAGATAATTCCAAGACTAACTAATTAGAACCTCAATGAATACGTAAATTGTAAAAATCTATTAACATTAACATGTAGTCATGACAAAATCAAACAACAGATTCAACTTTTGTAGACACACGATTAAATTAACTACTAATTTCTTTGATCATGAGAAATTTTTAACTCCCTATAACTTCTGCTTACAAAATTCCTGAAACTAACAATCTCTCAAAATTGACAGACGATCATCAAACGTATAGTTTCAGAAATTTACATGTCTTTCCCGCAGAAATTTAATCCTTTTCCGCCTTCTACAATCACGGTTAAAAACAATAATGTTGGTAAATTATACATAATTATTTACCATTTATTTATTAACCAAGTTGTTTTCATCAAAATTGCCACTTCCATGGAAATTTATATTAAAGTAAATTTTCCGTGGAAAATAATTGTTGATTGATCACGATTCCTAATTATTGTCCTGCTTAACTTCTTATTAATCACATTCCCACGATTTCATTGCTACAAATCCTTACAAATTAATTTAGAAATGTATTCTTTTCCTGTCTATGATTCAACCAAAAAATATTTCTGCAGATGAAGAAACGACAGGCAGAAAACCTCCCGATACAGAAGAACAAAGTTGATGGTCTTAGAAGTCATCAACCGCAGTTGTGCCGTAGGTGAACTTTATTAAGATTTGGAGACAATTTTAAAGGTAGATTTCAAAATCTCATAATTAATCATCTCTGTTACGGTTCCCCTCACAAATTTGTAAATTAAATTACCATATTTCCTTAAGAATCAAAACTTTGCTTTGGTCTTTTGTTTGATGAACCAAATTTCCACGAACATGACATTGCATTTTACTCTTATTGTATCTTGGAAGGGGAAAAAAACACCTTTTGTGGGGATGTGTTTTTTCAATTTATTTGTAACTGACTCCTTTCAAAATATATCATGTATCAATTTTCCAAAGATTTAAAATATATTAGTGTATGTGCATATACGTAATATTTACTATCATACATGTACCAATTTTTTTAGAGATTTTAGACATAATAATTTTAAATAATATTTTAATGAACATAACGCCCTGCGCAACGTGCGGGTTAAAAAACTAGTTAGATATATTTCCATACTTTGATGTCAAAATTGTTTACTATACTCCATCATATAATACATTATTAATATTAACGTTAGACAATTATTCATACAAGTAAAAACATGGATTTTGACTATAAAATAAAACAAAGATTGTCCGCCGATCTTATTCACACAATTATTCGCAAAGTTGAAACTCTAATAATAATAAATTCATTTTAATTTCTTCTTTATGTGAAAAAAAAGTAGTATTTTTAATTTATTTATATCTTTTGCAGGACTTTATCCTGAAAAAAGGAACCCTTCCAGAAATTCTCGATGGCTTAGGACGAACTAAACCAAAGAAGGGGTTTGGAAATAGTTTGCAACCAGCAATAGACGCGCGTCGGTTACAACCTCATAAGGCCCAAGCATGAAGATAAAAGAAAAAGCATGTATCTCATTATTCAGTGCTTGATTAAGATTAATTTTGTTAAAATATCTAAATATGTATCTTATTACTTGGGATTAGTAGCTTTTGGAATATCTAATTATATATTTCTTTAGAAAAGTATGAACATAATGAAATTGTGTTAAATTGAACCTTAACTATAATTTTAAAATATTTTTTTGAAAGTTTTACTTTACGCTAATAGCTATAAATTCAAAAAAACACCTAATAAAGATACTAATTCCTCTATAAAATTGCAGCTAAGAATTCCTTCAAATGCTTTTTAAAAAATCATTTTTCTCTCCCAAACAATATGAAATTACTACGTTGACAATTTATTGTTGCACTGTATATATTTTTATAAGCATTCTAGTTTGATAATTTTTTTTTATTTTTTATACAAATAGAGTAATTTTTATAATTTATTTTTAAACCGAACAACACTAGGGGGGAATATATTTAAAAAAAAATTAAAAGAGATGAAAAAACAACAGTCGTGAGACTTCAAAATACAGTACTCTATCGATGCCAAACTCCATCCATTTTCCCTCTCAATTCCTCCCAGCGGCCCTCCAGAAATTGGTTGTGGAGAATTGATGGAAGCTGCCAATTTGCATAGCCAAATCTTCAGTGTCTCCGGCCAACCCCTTTTTATGACCCCTTTCTCCACTCTATTCCGTCCCAGCCTCTCCCTTGTTCACCGCTCCCCCACCGCCGCTGCCGCTACTTTCAGGCTTTTCTCCTCCGCCTCCGCCGCCGCTTCCGCCACCACCGCCACCACCGCTACTCCGACTCAAGAAAAGGGCGTAGTAGTTCCGGAGCAAGCGAATGTAGTACGCAAGACTCCGAGGGGGAAGGTGAACAAAGTGATTTTGCAGGCGCAGAATAAAGAGAATTGGTTAGACTCCCTCTCTTGCCCTTTTCCGAATGTACACAAGGATGTTGGAGATGAATGGGTTATTGGAGTCGACCCTGATGCTTCCGGAGCCTTGGCCCTTTTGAAACCTGATCACTCTGCTCAGGTGTGATGCCACCATTTTGGCCTGCCTTTTTTTTTCTTCTTCTTCTTCTTTTGATCTTTCTCTACCCAGAAAGTTTCCTTATGCTATGTTGAATTTGTGTATGCAATTGAGCTTGATACTTTGAGCAATGATATTCTCATCTGCTCGTCGTCACTACTTAGGTTATGTTCCCTTTACTTAATATAATTATATTTGATTAATTTTATTAAATGTTAAAAGATATTGAATGTCATATTATATGAGAAGTAGAGTTCCAAATTGCAGATGAATCTGTGGAGCCTGCTGGACTTGTTGATTATGCTCATTGTGCTTTCTTTGGCATCTCAATTGTTTTATAGTTGTAGCAATATTTTTGGAGAGTTCCTGCTTCTTACTTCAGTCAGGAATTTTCATTGCACCCTATATTTTGACTTCAATGGATGTTGAACTTTTTATAAAAGAAAGTAGACAGACAATCTTAGGGTGGTAACATTTATATTTTGGGAAAAACCCAGAACACCAAATCCATCTCTTTGAGATACTTATCCAAACAGGGCACTCGAAATGGAGTGCCAATATTGCGCATTTGAATATTTTTGAATGTCCGTTATTAGATATATCCCATACCCATATATACTTTTCTTTCTTCAAATTCCAGGTTTTTGATACTCCTCACTTGAAAGTACTTGTTGGCGGGAGAATGCGCAAGCGTTTAGATACAAAGTCTATTGTACAGTTACTGCGCAGTTTTGATGCACCGAAAGGTATGGTTACTTATCTTATCTTATGAAAACTTTTCTTTTATATTGGTACAATTTTCTCTTTGTAATCAGTCTTCTAATTGTACTGTATGTTTTGGATAACCGTATTCTGCTTCCAGTAGTGCGAGGACCTGATGCATTATTGACTTGTTATTTTTTTTGTCCCTATCCTTGCTGCGATTATGAATGCCTATCTATCAAACATTTCTTACAAGTCCTATAGGTGCATTTATGAAGACTGCAAAAATTATTTTATTCCACATACAATAGGTCAGTTGTGCACTTATGAAGACTGAAAGTGCCTCAATACTTTCATGTGTTTTCTGTAGTATGATCCACGGAGACTAGGATAGTACTGTTTGTTTCTTTAACTTATAGAGGGGTCAAGAATACAAAACAAAAAAACCAAAAGTATTGTGATGTATTATTGGTCGCCTAAGCATAAAAAAGATAAAAGAACCTCGAGGCTGGGACACTAGTTCTGAGCTTTATCTTGCATGAAGTTCTTAATCTATGAAAGCTATGAGTCTGAACCAAGTTTGCTCTTTCAGGAACGACCGCATATGTAGAGCAATCAATTCCGTATCCGAAAGATGGTAAGCAGGTCAGGATCACTCCCTTATAAACCGTCACAGTCTTCTGGATCCAGTGTTTACTATCTAGATGATGAAATACATTATTTGAACTTGCTGCATTTCACTGGACTCGCAAACTTTTCACTTCTTTTCTCTTGAATTTTTCCTTTTTGCCTTTGTTGCTGCTTTCTTTATCGATGTCTTGGCTGCTATTCCACCATTTGCAGCTGGATGTGATGAATTGTCAAAGAATCTATGCTGTAATAGAAGTTTGCTACCCTTGTACAACTAAAGATCTTGGCAAAACTGGAAGCTTTGAAAAAATGTTGCATTGCTTGGTTTCATGGATCATCTAATCTCTTTCACAGGCAATGTACTTTAGAACATTTTTTCTTGTTAATTTTCCTCATTTTGTCATTTTCTTTTTCTTCCTTTTCCATGGATCTGTTTAAGGAACTATTTTCCTCTGTTCGAAACATCAGTTACAGGTTTCGACCTATTTCAGGATGTTTAGCCTTAGAGTAAAATACTATTGTATCCATAATTGACTGGCAGCTTTTAAACATGTTAATGGTTTGCATTGGCCTATCTTTTGAGTCTAAATAAAGGAAAAAGCTAGTGCTTCAAAAGGATTCTGGATTTAGTGTTGGAAACGACAGAAATTCGGCAAATCAGGGAATAGCTCTTCAAGTACATTAGTATTTAATGAACGAGCATTTCAATCCCAGAGTTGTAGTCATAATGAGAAATTTAAATTTATAAATCGATTTTTGCCATAGTATGTCATCTTGTAATCTGTTTATCATGCATGTATACACCTTATGTGTTTCTGTATTTTGTTCTTTTGATCTGAACTAACTTATTTTTTAGTTACATAAGTGATACCAAGATTTTATTTACTTAGTTGCATTTATTAGTCACTAGATCTCTTTTCAGGTGTACTAGTTATAGTGAATTATCAGATATTTTTCATGGTGGATTCGATGGCTTTGAAGTAAGCTTTACAGCTGGTGCTTCACATGTCAGGCCATTGCTGAAGTATAAATTGCACTGCTTAAGTGTGGCATTGTTTAACGCATTTACTTTTTATTGTTTTCTCAGTGGGGTTCTTGAATCACAATTAAGTTGATCAACCCTATGAGAGTTGTGTCTATAGTCACCAGTTGAGAATGTTTTGAACTATAAGGTTACTTAACATAGGCCTTGATCAACCCTTTCATGGACCCTTTGCATCCAAAATCTTCTGTATACCACTATGTTTCTTTTCATGAAAAGAAAAAAGGAAGAGGCCAGTGATGGGGAAAATTTTTCACCATGGGCATATTTTTAGGCAAGTAGTTGATTATCTAGCTGTGCATAATTTTTTGAACTGGGCCAGATACTTTACTTTGGCAAGTTGCTGAAGTTTTCTCTTTCACTCTTGTTTTTGCATTGTGTTTATTGTTCCTCTGTTTCTAGGGATGGTGGAGTAGTGGATTTGGATATGGCCTGTGGATTGGGGTCCTAGTAGCCTCTGGCTTTTCTGTTGTTCCAGTGCCATCTACTCTGTGGAAGAATGAGTTTAAACTGTCAGGGAAAGCCACAACTAAGGTCATTCTTTCTTTCAAAAAGATTATCAAACGTTTACTAATTTTATTTACCTTTTGAAGCCTTCTTAATGTTTATCGTATTGTTATCATTTTAACTATTGAGGTTGGAGTGTCTAATTGATTTGTTGTATAATCATCTGACTGCCCACCTACTATTAAGTGTCAGAAACTTTCGAGACGTTGCCTATTAGTTTAACATTTCTTAATGGTCAGCCAATTTACACTTTGCCCTAACAAATGGGTTAAAGTGTGCTGATTCTATCGATTGTTCAAGCTTTCCTAACATGTAATACACATCCGTAGGAAGAGCCACTTAAATATGTTCAACTGAGAACAGTTTATTGGATTCCTTCTCGAGTTTTAGGAAGTTGAATTAATGGAAAATGTGTTCTGAAGATTCAGAGAGTAAGTAGTTTCTAAAATAAAAGAGAAGTGCGAGTGGCTTCCTTATTGAGTCTTGAAAAAGAATTCTTTACAGGTGACCTAATGTTTAGAGGCCTTGTATGGATGTGTTTTAAGTGAGCTTTCTGGTATCTTTTGTTGTCAAGACATATGACACTGTCACCAGGCAATCAGAAAAACTAAATGAGAATGACGTTGGCACAACAAACATGTTCCTTATTCTAGATGGAAGGTGATAAAGTGCATAGTCCATTTTGACTCTGTGGCAGACATCTATTTCATATGTTTTGCCTTGAAGAATAATGATGTCGTTCAGTGTCATTGCTGTCTTTGAGTTACCAAGCTGAAAATACACTATTAAGATCAACATTTCAATTAGAAATGCTAGATCTTTCTCTCTTTCGCACAGGGTTTCAACAAAATGTTAATAACTCATATTTACTACTGAAACTGCCTGCAAATTTTATCATCAGCTCTTAAAATTCTTTTTTGTTTTGGGGATTTATTTTCATGTTTTTCATACTCTCAACCTTGCAGGACGATAGCAGGGAGTTAGCGTCATCAATGTTTCCCTCCGCAAGTTCACTGCTGAAGAGAAAGAAAGATCACGGTAATGTTACTTAGTTTTCTTTCTCTCTAGCTTTTGTCCTGTATGTGTCAGCTCCTCAATGACAGTTGTATTAGTTTACTTCTATAGCCCATGTCTTCTTTCGTGGAACTGCCAGCAAAAGAGCCAAGGTGCTTAAATTTACACATTCAACTGAAGCTTGCATTCATTCACCTTAATCTTTTATCGTGAATATTGCGAGTTAGTTAGGTTGATGTTTCCTGGTATTCTAATCAGAGTTGGAATATATGCTTGAACTTCTAGTAATCTGACCGGAATTTAGAACCTTAGCTTTTGAATCGTGTGAAGTGATACCGTATTCACTTCCCTTTGCCTTTTGATTTCTATCTTGTTTATTTGGTGAGCCAAGAAGAGAGAAAAAGAACCACCGACTGTCGAACGGTTTTGCCTTTTGCTCTTATTTCTATATATCCCTACAACCAGAACTAAGGTGTATAGTTTCCTCTAGACACACCGGAGTTCAAATTGAAGTTTTAACTCAGTTGTGCAACTCCAGAAATGGTGGATGAGTGTTGCCAGATCAATTAAATAAAAGAGTTCTCTAGCTAATAAGAGCAGATTGCAGTTGTAAATATAACTAGAGGTGTTAGATGAATTTATGGTGAGCCTGCTGTTAAAATATTTCAACTTTACCCATCCATTTTAATTCTAATGTGTTTTTTTTTTCCCTGGTCTCATTGTCACTCAATTGGTGGATTCCCATCTGCGAACTTTGCTTTGGAAAACTATGAATGACCTTCATGCAATTATGATCCTTCACCTGTTAACTCTTGTCTTGTTTACGTTTCTTGGCAGGTCGAGCAGAAGCCTTGCTTATTGCTGCATATGGTGGAGGTCTGAAACAGTGTTTCAGTTTGCCCCCTTTGGTCGAGGACAATAGCAAAGTATGATTCATATATAGCCATATATAGCCGATCTCACGTAACGGGATGAAAGCGTGATGGTGGTTATCGTTGTCGTTAGCACCTGACGAATTCATCAAAACTTAAGGAAACAATCGGCCATGTGAAGTCCTTATTCCTAGTGGTGTAATGCTAACCTAATCTAATCACGTTACCCTCCTTTTCCCTAATTCAACTCAAATTTATTGATCGCTAAATTTATTGTTCCTTGTAGATGACTTACAAACTTGCATGAGAACAAGTGTAAATTACAATGAAGAATTGAGTTTTTGACCAGCTAGCATTCATTTTTAAGTTTAGTTTACCACTTTTTTTTTTTTTTTTTTTAATCTTTCTCGACTTACTTTGTTCTGCATTCGTTTGGTTGGGCCCCGTTGTGTCTCGAGAAACTTCGAAATGAAACTATATTACGAACTTGTTTTATCAAGAAAACCAAAAAAAAAAGAAAAAAATAGTACTAACTGGCTGAATTTATAGGTTTAAGAGAACCGGCGATACCTGGTAATTCAGCCAGTTTCTAAATCATTCCTAAATGTTATTAGAATATCGATTCTGAATGTAAGGTAGACAGTTTTTTCAAACATCGTTTTCTAATTCAAGCTCACGATTCAATCTTTGTAAATCTTTACAAATGGGCATGATCTGAGCATAATTGCAAATTGGAATTGTTTAACTAAGTTTTCTTTGTTTTTACGCAAAAATTTAGAACACGGAGTCCTTTTTCAACTATTTCTTCTGCCATATTTTTAACACTAGGTTATGATGAAATGGAACAGAACGTTTCGAGATATAAAAGTGCGGAATCTCCACTTCTCAAGACATGTTCCACATAAAGGCACCATCAACTGCATTTGAATTCATGCCCTTTTCATAATATCTGTGAAAACAATTGTGGCCGATTTGTTAAAAAAACTGAATTTACAAACATAAACGCATGTTTTCTTTGCATGTGGTGAAGTTCTGTAAGTCTGCTTTTGTCTTTTAATTTTTTTCTGAAGCAGTCACCGATTGTTCTCTCAGTTTCCTAAACAACAATTGCAAACGCCGCCTTTTTCCTTGTCTTTTTTTTTTTTAACAACAAAAGTAACTTTAAATTTCTTACGCATTTTGTTATCGGCCAATTTTTTCCCCCAATTTTATGGTCTCCGCTATTTTTAAGTTTTTTTTTTTTTAACTTTCAATTTATTGTCATGTAAATTCATTATTAATTTTTAATATTATTTATTTGAAATTCGCGTTGAATATTATTTGATTAATATAAAAGTATTTAATTCATACATTTATTTAAAAATTAGAATCGTGTTAAATTAAAATTTTATTTTGTATTCTAATTTTTTAATTTAAAGATTAGTGGTCCATACTTAATGCAAGATGGGGTCCTTTTATAAATTTCTTATGAGTTAGAAACTGGAAGTGTTTATACCATTGTAGAAGGATTTGTAAAGAAATTAAGTCTTATTAATTTTTAATAGAATGTGAACAATAAAATAAATAAAAATAGAGTTTTATGGGGTTTTACCATTGAGGATGCTTAAATTCTTGGGCAAACTATATTTTACCTCTGAGTTTTGGTTAAATCTACCATAAACCTTTCGAGTTTTAGCAATACTATCATATACCCCCTTGACTCAAAGTTAACCTACGAAATATTCCCTTAACATATAAATACTATCATCAATTTTGTGTAAATGGTCAAACATACCCTTTAATCCATATTCTTAGATTATACAGTATAAATGTTTTTTAAAAAATATAGCATAAGTTAAATTTAAAAATATTCCATATTGATTCTTTTATATTAATACATTTAAATAATAAAATTTTGATATTAACTATACCGTCTTTTGAAATAAAAATTATTTTCAAATATTAAATTCTTTTTTTAAGCATAATAAGCTTATATTATTAATCATGGATTGAGTTTCATATATTAACTTGTTATAATTAAATTTGAAAATGACAACTTAAGTAATCTTTATTTTTAATGATAAAAATGAAGAAAAACAAATAAAAAGGAGAAAAGAAAATTAATTGTATGTAAACCGCGGTCATTTTTGTCATTTCAATATTTTACCCTTACTCAGGGGGTATATGGGAGTATCACTCAAACTCGGAGGATTTATCGTACATCAAGATAAAAGTCGAAGAGTAAAATGTAGTTCGCCCTAAATATTTTGGTTTGCACGACATTTAGTGCCTGCGGCTATTCCATATCCCAACATCTCATTACTTCCTCAATCAAAACTCATATATATTATTGAAGAGATTTCATCAAATTTTAAAGAGATACTTTCTTCATTCCAATTCAATAGGCTCACTTTCTCATTTAGGTGTGCCAATAGTACTAATAGTTATTAGTAAATGTCATTATAATTATATTATCAAGACGATCAAAGTGTCTTAATAGTTCAAGACCTTTTACCATATTGGAATATTAGACACTTGTCCAAAACGTCTCAATAAAGTAGCATACAATGTATTTTTAAGTGCCTCTCTATGGGGGGTTTTCTAGTAGTGTAAAACTCATGAGGAGTCCACTTGAGTATTTGAATGATGTGGACGAGATCAAGAGTGCAAAGGTGATGGTTGATTCTCCTAATCATCAACAAGAGAAGGTGTCGGTAAGCCTTGAAAACATTGCTGAGGATGTTAATGTGTTACGTGACCACGTGTGTGCTAAGTGGGTTTTGGTTGTTTAAAGTTTAAGTTACCTTTATTTTATAAATGTCATAGTGAGTATGAAGTGCGGGAAATGAGCATTGGAAATTTGTTTGTGCTGCTTGATTGAGTAAGAGAGCGACAAAGTAACTCTACCAATAAGTTGCTTTTGCTCTAATGCTTTAATTTGGTGGAAGCTTGTGTCTAATGTATATTCGCATTACTGGTTTAAGAATTGTTATGATTGGAAAGATTTGAAGTATATGATGCATGAAAGGTATATGGACACTAATGCTTTCGATGAGGCTAAGCTTAAGCTGCTTCACTGTGAGGTGGTAGATCTATCCAGACTTACCTTGAAGAGGTTAAGGGCTTGTTCTTCAGTTCTGATCTTGATGAGATTGTTTATTTGCTTACGAATCATTTTCAGTATGGATTAGATGAGGTTTATAGAAATAACCCAATCATTATGAGCAGTGTAGGTTGTACCAAATTTGCTATTTAACATTGGAGGTCGAGAGGTTGCGTGATTGGTGCGTGCCGAGTTCACAAAAAATATTACTAGCTTGGATTGTGATTTTTGCAGATAATGGAAGCTAGGTCGATCCCACGAGGACAGCTAATTACCAAATTCGTTGTTAAAAGACTACCAGTTTAGACAAAGTGTCACTCAGGGGAATGAAAACAGTCACTCAGGGGAATACAAGCCAGGGGTGTTCATCTCCTCTTCCTAATGCAGTAGTTGTATAATCAGCACTGTAATAGTTAAGTTCTTGTTCATTCAGCTCACTTATAACTCTAAGTCAGTTCCCATTTTTCCTAGAGTCATCTTTGTAACCTTAACAATCTATTTTCCAATGATTGATTCCAGTTATAAAGTCATCAAGATCTCAAGCTTATATGAATGCTCATGTCAACTAAGTATATTCCTATCTTTGTTAAAACAATAGACTGTTACCTCTACGTCATAAGTTGAAGTTGAAACAATCCAAACCAAGTTTATCTTTCCAGATCTCCCTTAGTTCTAACATGCATTCAATTTAGTGATCAAGTAAATGAATGTAGAAAAACTTCCGACTTCGAAACAAAGAACAGAACCAGTGCATTACAACCACTCCAACATAGGTTGAGGAGATTAACCCCTGGAAGCTACTTAGCTACTCATGCAGATTAATGCTACATCTACTACATCAAAAGACATCATAGAAGTATGCATCATAAAACGAAGTTCAAGCTAACAGTCAAGAGACGAGAAAAAAAAAGCTTGTGCAGTTCTGAACCATTCCTTAGAGTAAAAGACTCAGGGAAATGAGGCAGTGCCTGGAATTGTTGTTCTTCAAGTCTGCTGCCTTCTAAGTTGTTGTTGTTCTCCCTTCCTTCTTGTCTTTCTTCTGGATCTTTTCGTGTATTCTTGGCAACTGAAAGGTGTAGCCAGAGATGCCCATTTCTGAGAGTGCAGCTCCCCTTTTATAGAGCCCTGAAGCCGGTTCTTCAACCAAGAGAGCCTTCCCATGCTTGTGAATTGTTTAATCCTTCCTAGGCCTTGTGTCTTGAATCCGAAATTGACTGGTCTTTTTCTCTTCTTCCAGCAGTGGTAGCAGCAACCTCATTGATGAATATGGGTGGTTGGAAATTCAGCCAAGGAGATAAGCATGCTTTTGGAATTCTAAGGAGAAACACACTCATTATGTCAAGGTGCTTTGTGTCTTGGGAGTGTTTTTTTTTTTCCGACCAGCTCAGCAAATTTGAATCCAGTAGCCCACAAATTGTTCCTTTGGCCCCAATTTTCAGCAATTGTTCAACCAAGTCCTAACCTAATAAAAACACAAAAAACTAGTTAGGTAAAATGCACTAATACTAAGAAATACCCCTAATTTCTTACTAAATTCAGAGTTAATTGTGATGCTTTTATATAACAAATAAACCATTATCAACTCCCCCAAACTGGAAAATTGCTTGTCCTCAGGCAAAACAACTAAACTCTTGCTGGCACTTACAGAATTATACATAAGAAACAGGGAAAACAACATTGTCAAAATGACTGAAGATTGACTTACTTCCCTGAGTGAAGATTCTCACTCAGGCATGTGACACTGAACATAGAAACAACAACACAAACACAAACTGGATAGGGGCTGTCAACCTTTTGTCTCAGATTCAAATAAAGAAAACATACACTTAAAGATATCAAATCTTTCTGCAATCCAGAGTCAAACAACCAACCTTCACATGAAATTAGAATACATGCCACAAGTGTCAGTTATGCCCAACCTACCAATCCATTCTAAGTTCACCGGTTTCAGCGTGTGGTGGTCATTCTTGTGATTTGGTTTTGCCCAAGTTACTTCGACTTGATTTACCTACTGAGGCTTCAATCATGGACTTCCTTCACAGCCTTTTTGTCTGTCTGTTTTTTTATTTTTTATTTTGAATGTAGACGGACCAACCTACACCTTTGGGAGGGGTGTTATTCGACCTTATCCCTCCACTGCCTTATACCTCAACCCTGATTACTCCAACAGTTTGGAACTTTTTGTGGTGGTTCCTTGCTGTTATCCCCTAATGTTTCAGTTGATCCAATCTTTTTTATTTTATTTTATTTTATATTTTTTAAATACAAACAGGCTGTGAATGGATACCACA